TGTTAGCAGACGTTGTGGAAGAGATGACAGTGTTCAGGTCTTCATATAATTTTTTGTGTGTTGACTTCTGTGTTTGTCATTGTGGGTGCATAGGCACTGACTAGGGTAGCACACGTCTTTTCATGGCAGAGGGGAATTTTCAACGTCATGAGCCGGTCATTTATACCTGTTGGAGAGCTTGGTTACGAGAGAGGTTTTGATAAGAAAGCAAACACCAGCTTCTCGCCTTGTGTCAGGGTCGCGCCCGCTCCAGAAGAAAGAATAGCCAGGAAGCCTTTCTGTAATTTCACCCTTGCCAGAGAGTCTGGTTTCACTGAGAGCGGCGATGTCTACATTGTATCTCGCAAGTTTATGGGCAATGAGCGCCGTGCTACGTTGAGGTCTGTTAGAAGTGTCCCTGTCAAGCAGTGTGCGTATGTTCCATGTGGCAATTTTAAGTGAAATAGTGTTTATCCTTGATTTACGAGCGCAAAAATTGTGACCCCGCTGACCGTGTTCAGTGGGCCAGGGTGTGAAGGAGCAGGCATTTCTTTGAGCAACTATTCAGCCCCCTCGGCATGCATTTAGGAGACCACGAGACTTGGGATGATGGGTATAGTTGGATGACTGATGACTTGCGTGGGTGACTTTGTTCAGAGGAAGAGTTGCGCAGCGTCAACCTCACTCTCTCGTCCGGACCCACCCTGTCCAGTGGCAAGACTAAGTCAAGATGACCGGAAATGGGTAAGGATGCAGCGGATGACCAAGATGTTCTACGTGCCTTATCCTGCTCTACGCACTCCACGGTGCGTTGCTGTAATCGCCTTCACCTCCTTTGAACCTAAATTGTTTCCTTGGCAGGATCCGTTGACGTCCAGGCTTTGCATGCAGTAAGTAGGCAGACCTAAAATCACCGAGTGCTTGAGGCCCATCAGCTACCCACGGCTGATTGACCCGGCTAATGGAAGCCGTTGCCCAGGATATGGCCGCTGTTGCATGCTAACAGCTGATTGGCATGAAAGTTGATACTCATTTTAAGTTAGTTATAAAATCCTAACCCTTTGAGTAACTTACCCAAGCTAGTTCCCTACCCCAGTGACTTCCTTACCCCTGTGAGTTCCCTACCCCAGTGAATTCCCTTCCCCAGTGAGTTCCCTACCCTAGTGACTTCCATATCCCAGTGAGTTCCCTACACCAGTGAGTTCCCTACCCCAGTGACTTCCCTAACCCAGTGACTACCCTACCCCAGTGACTTCCTTACCCCAGTGAGTTCCCTACCCCAGTGACTTCCCTAACTCGGTGAGTAACCTACCGAATTTAGTTCCCTACCCCATTGGGTTCCCTACCCCAATGAGTTCCGTACCCAAGTTAGTTCCCTACCCTAGTGACTTTCCTACCACAGTGAGTTCCTTACACCACTGACTTCCCTACCCCAGTAAATTCCTTACCCTAGTGACTTCCCTATCCCAGTGAGTTCCCTACACCAGTGAGTTTCCTACCCCAGTGACTTCCCTAACCCAGTGAGTTCCCTAACCCAGTGAGTTCCCTACCCTAGTGACTTCCCTATCCCAGTGAGTTCCCTACCCCAGTGAGTTCCTTACCCCAGTGACTTCCTTACCCCAGTGAGTTCCCTACCCCAGTGAGTGCCCTACCCCAGAGAAGTCCCTACACCAGTTAGTCCCCCCCCCAGTGAAATTATTACCCTCTTTAATTCCCTACCCCAGGTATGTCCATAACTAAGCGAGTTCCCTACCTCCTTAAGGTCTTTACCCCAGTGAGGTCCCTATCTAAGTGAGGTCCCTATCCCATTCAGGTCCCAGAAATTTAAAAAAAATGAATTTGAGCCAAGGGAGTCCCAAACATTGCCTTAAATTTAAAAAAAACTCGAAACTACTAACAATTCCCAAAAATTGCCAAAACTTTCTAACCAAAATTTTGAAAAATTGAATTCATTTCCTTTGTCAAAAGACTCTATGCTTCCCCCCACCCTCTTTTTCATGCCCATCCTTGTGTGCCCCCCACCTCAAATCATGTTCACTCCCTAACTCACCATTATGTTAACCATGTAGCCCATATTACGTTTACAATATATCCCCCTATTACGTTTAATGTAGCTTCCCCACCTACAATTTAGATACGAGACATTTATTAAACCAAATAATTGGAAATTTGTGTTTTTCATTTAAAATACATATTCACTTTTTCAGTCTAGAAAATCTTTGATTTTCTCGCAGTACCTTAAAATTAGTCTGTATTAAGCCTTTCGCGGATACTTGTTCGGTATGAAAGACTGTTGAGTTCTTGAGAGAGAGTTTTAATTTTTTAAATTGTTTTTTATTTTTTTTTGAACGGGGCCCCCCCCCCCCCCCCCCCCCCAATCAGGGAAATTCCTTTCGTCTGTAGCCGATTTTTCTTTAAATGTTTGTTATGGCGGATAAGAATATTTCTTAGTTTGTGCCAACGATGTCCACAAAATCCATGTAAACGCTGTTCATCACGTTTTAAAACAAAAGATTATCAGTCACATTAAATAAAACCGCAAGAGTACCTGTCGAATAAAATAAACAACACAAGATTATCTGTCGAATAAAAAAAACTAAAAAAAAAAACTAAAAAAAAAGACACAACATTATCAGTAAAATCAAATAAAAAACACAAGATTATCAGTAAAATCAAATAAAAAACGCAAGATTTTCAGTCAAATAAAAAACAATTGATTTCCAAAGAAATCTTTTTAAGCACATTCAAAATTTTTTAAGACGCAAAAATAATATGTACTGATAAAATGGAGTCGGCTGCAAAGCAGGCCTCGGAAGAATTATCAGTTAACTCTGAAGCCCACTCCAACTCAATACTATTCAACATGTAGCCAACTATTTTGTTCACCCTGTAGCTTTTTGTTATGTTCTAGATGTAGCCTCCATAAATACCTCATGCACACCCCACTAGGTTCACTCAGTAGACACCCAATATGTTCATCATGTAACCAACCGTTACGTTCACACTGTAGCCACCCATTATGTTCACACTATAGCCACACACTATGTTCACACTATAGCCACACATAATGTTCACACTATAGCCACACATTATGTTCACACTGTAGACACACATTATGTTCACACTGTAGCCACACATTATGTTCACACTGTAGCCACACATTATGTTCACACTGTAGACACACATTATGTTCACACTGTAGCCACACATTATGTTCACACTGTAGCCACACATTATGTTCACACTGTGGCCACACATTATGTTCACACTGTAGCCACACATTATGTTCACACTATAGCCACCCATTATGTTCACACTAGCCACACATTATGTTCACACTGTAGCCACACATTATGTTCACACTGTAGCCACACATTATGTTCACACTGTAGCCACACATTATGTTCACACTGTAGCCACCCTTTATGTTCACCTTGTAGCCATACATTATGTTCACCATGTGGACATCCATTGTGTTCAAACTATAGTCATCCCCTATTTTCACCCTGTAGCCACACATTATGTTCACCTAGTAGCATCCCATTGTATTCATTATGTAGCCACCCATTTGGTAACACTGTAGCAACCCATTTTCTTCACCCTGTAGCAACCCCTTATTTTCAGCATGTAGTCAAACATTATGTCCACCATAAAGCCACCAATTTTTTTAACCCTTAAGCTACCGCAGCTAACAATTATATGTCCAACATGTTTCCGCCCATTACGATGAACCTGTAGCAACCCATTATGTTCTCCCTTTTGACACTCATTTTGTTAACCCTGTAGCCATGCATTATGTTCAACCTAATGACACCAATAATATTCAACATATAGAGTATGGTCACTCTGTTGCATCCCATTATAATTTACATGTTTCCACCCATTATTATCACCCTGAAGCCACATATTCTGTTTAGCTTGGAGACACCTTTATGTTCACCCTGTAGCCACACATAATATTTACCCTCTAGCAAACAATTAAGTTCACCCTGCAGCCACCCATTATGTTCAACCTGTAGACAACCATTTAAATCCTCCTGTAGCCATCTATTTAGTTAGACCTGTAGCCTACCAGCAGTTCCCCTTGTAGCCACCCATTATGTTTACCCTGCCCAAATCATTAACTTCACTCTGTAGCCTACTATTATGTTCTCCATGTAGCCAATAATTCATTTTTTGCGAGTGGGTACCTGTGTAAATAATTCTTTTCGTTAAAGAGTTTGCAGGTGGGTACCTGTGTCAATAATGTATTTATTTAATGAGTTTGAAGGTTGGCACCTGTGTCAATAAATCATTTGGCTATTCAGTTAGCCGGTGGGTACCTGTGTCAATAACAATTTAGTTAAAGAGTTTGCCTTTAGGTACATGTGTCAATAATTTATTTATTTAATGAGTTTGAAGGTTGGTGCCTGTGTCAATAATAAATTTTAATTTAGTCAATTAGTCTGTAGGTTTAAACTTGTATCAATAATTCCTTTAGCTATTCAGTTTGTAGGTGGGTAACTGTGTCAATAATTTATTTATTTAATGAGTTTGTAGGTGGGTACCTGTCTCAATAAATCATTTGGCTATTCTGTTTGTAGGTGGGTACCTGTCTCAATAAATCATTTGGCTATTCTGTTTGTAGGTGGGTACCTGTCTCAATAAATCATTTGGCTATTCTGTTTGTAGGTGGGTACCTGTCTCAATAAATCATTTGGCTATTCTGTTTGTAGGTGGGTACCTGTGCCAATCAATCATTTAGTTAAAGATTTAGCGGGTGGGTAACTGTGTCAATCATTCATTTAGTTAATAAGTCTGTAGTCGTGTACCTGTGCCAAACTTTATGGTGCTTTCATCTTGTGCAACGGCTAGTTTAGAATACGAATTTCAAGACAAATATTATATACTGCAATGTTTAAAGTGTGAAGAAAATCTACAGGGAATTGATCCACGCCCTCTAACTCAACCAAGTGAACAGTGCTTAATGACTGGCCAGAACGAGATACAGACAACAGCTGGATGACACTGGTATATTGTGTATAGAGGGGTGGGGAGTGGAGAGGTCATGTTTCCTTATATAAGCAGCCACACAACGCTTGCTAGGTTCATCTGGAAAACATTTTGGTCATCTCTGCTTGTCTGGTCACTTAGATACAGCTTGGACATCTGAGGGTAAGTTGTAGGACTGTGTAGGCGTAGTTTCCTTTTTAATTGCTGGCTGGTATAGTGTAGGGCCGTAATGTAGGCTTATTGTTCAAAGGTCACCAGGTAAGGTGTAGTACTGTCTGTAGGCATATTGTGTAAATGCCGAAATGTATGGATTGCGACTGTCTCTAGGTGTATTTTGTAAGGATCGACATAATTGATAGAAAGTAAGAAGTTAACTGTTTTTGTAACACGTGGACCCACAGGATGTTTCCTCGAAATGCCCGGATCTTATGTGAACGAAGTGCACCGTGTTAAGCTCTTATTGTTCAATGTGTGTGTCATGTGTCATGTGTCCCCAATTGATAACACAGACAAGCCTAAAATAAGTTGTCTCAAATCTTAGACGTGTCTTCCAGTATTTTTGATCAGCTTCGTTTAAAAATATTGCATCTGAATTCTTACATCATCTGTAGTTTCAAATTTACTTAAAATGTGATATTTTTAAGCATGATAGTAGCATACTTATTTTTAACAAAAGGTTTATTCAGGCGTGTTCTGGTGGCTTTTACTAGCCATTTTGTACACAGTGTAGACCAAATAATGTGGGGGGCCTTCAAGTCAAATAGTAATATCTTCCAAAAATATAGTTTATGATTAGGACTCTGGCCTTGGGCCCAAAAATAACAGTTTCGAAGGTTGAATCCAGGTCCTGGACGTGATTATTTCATTAGTCGTCATTTAAGATTAAAATCTCGGTAACGTGTCAGCAGATCTTTGCTCTATCACCTGTGAATATAAAGGTTAAATACACTAAAACAGATATTTTCACCTACAATGTTTAATATGTTTGACAAAAAAGAAGCTCCTGGTCTTAGAATTCTGAGGATGGGATTTGACAGAAAAATCCCTATTAAGATACCCACAAAAAATTAGTCTGACAACATGTGTGCATAGTATATGTCTGCTGAGTCTAGGTAACTTATACGCTATATGAATGTATCAACTTTATCTAAAGCGTTTAATAGCTTTGTAATCAGACAGGCCTATCTTTATGGAGACCTTTTTCTATATGATTCTGCCTCGTGCTACTTCAGGTTTATTGATAACATTCTGTGCTCGGACCAACTTAAATAATAATTCCAATCATTTAAGGGTACTTATTCCAATACGTTTTGAATTGTTAATGTTACATACTCTCTCGTTTTGGTTCAGATTCAATCTGTTATAGTCACGGCTATTATTGTGGCGGTGTGCCTCCTCTGGTGGGCATTGCCAAAAATCATTTCTTCAGGGCAGTTCATTGAGTCTCAACCCTCCACCCCCTTCCCACGACTGGTGCAGGCAACCACTAAGTGGGCCAGTGACTCTTCTGCCTGGCCGCACAATCTGCAGTTTAGCTCACTTCTGTCGTCAAGTCTATGGAGGCAGATTGCTGCCCTCAACTGGGTGATGAGGCTATGCTCGCCTCGCTTTATCTCCTCCATGTGTCACTCTTCTCTGTCTCAGCATCTTCCGATAAAACTGAAGTCCTGTTTCTCCTGCGGCACAATCACTTAACACTTTATATAAAAGTCGTCTGTTAACTAAGCTGTGACTCTCAGATGAGTCATTGGTTTTTCGGGTTTCGCCTCGGCCACGCCTTCTTTGGCTGCGAAATCCTCAATTAACGTGACCAGCGATAAACTGCAGAATAAATTTTCGGCCCCTTACATGATTATTACCAACTGTCTCCATCATAGTCTCCGTAGTGGCCCTTCCCACATGCTCGAGAGCTAATCGTGAGTCGATAAATAACATGATGTCTGGAAAGATTTTTCTATTAGCTGGGCATTGTAGGAATGTCTTTCGGGCAAAAAGGATTGCCTCGATTTCCGCATCAATGATCGTTCTGCTTTTTCCTACTGTGTCCGGATAGCTCCTCTTGTGGAGCTTTCTCTTTAGGGTACTCGATAAGTGCGACTTATCCGCTGCTGAGTTCTTTTCAAGCAAAGCACTAGCCGTCTGTGAAGACTTTAACCAGTTTGTCTGGGTAGGCGATAATCGTTATTTGCAGTGCCTCCAATAGTTCTGGTTGAGGACTGGCTATTTTGACATTGGTGTTCATCAAGGTAAAACGTATTTAAAATGGGGGGGAGGGGGCTATATTGCAATCCCATGCCTAAAACACTTTTACCCTTCCCTGTTGTCGGGTAAGGCCAAGTCTCCCCCAAGACTGTGAACCATAAAGAAAGGTCTCTTTAATATAGTCTTTTTTCACATTTCTTTTGTTATCGAAGGCACAGTTCCTGTCGGTCTAGAAGTCGGTATCGCTTCGCCGTCGCTAGGACTTAGTTTCCCGCCTGATAGGGAGTGTCTGAGTCTGAGGCTGAAGACAAAACCGTTTGTCATCATCGATAACGTTTTTACTAAGGCTTGTCATCTCTGAGGCTGTGGTCACTAAGGTTTTTCATCTCTGAGGCTGTGGTCACTAAGGTCTGTCATCTCTGAGGCTGTGGTCACTAAGGTCTGTCATCTCTGAGGCTGTGGTCACTAAGGTCTGTCATCTCTGAGGCTGTGGTCACTAAGGTTTTTCATCTCTGAGGCTGTGGTCACTAAGTTTTTTCATCTCTGAGGCTGTGGTCACTAAGGTTTGACATCTTTGAAGCTGTGGTCACTAAGGTTTGTCATCTCTGAGGCTGTGGTCACTAAGGTTTTTCATCTCTGAGGCTGTGGTCACTAAGTTTTTTCATCTCTGAGGCTGTGGTCACTAAGGTTTTTCATCTCTGAGGCTTTGATCACTAAGTTGTGTCATCTCTGAGACTGTGTTCACTAAGGTTTGTCATCTCTGAGGCTGTTGTCACTAAGGTTTGTCATCTCTGAGGCTTTGATCACTAAGTTGTGTCCTCTCTGAGACTGTGTTCACTAAGGTTTGTAATCTCTGAGGCTTATTAAACTTATAAACTCATTCGTAGTGCCTAATTTTTAGATATGAGTAACAGTTAAAAAGTAACATTTATTATTTTTTTCTTTTATATTGCAGAAAGTAAAATGAAATTTATTCCTTCATCTTTTGCCTTGTTGGTGTGCAGTGTCAGTGCTTCCTTTCAAAATGTAAACGGAAATACTAATTTAGTCTGTCTCATTAATGGTGAAGTGAGTAGAGAATAATATGGCTTGCAATTAGTGATATCAGAAATTTAAAAATTCTCAAGTATATCGTGATGTCATTAATGAATATTTTTCCTTGTACAATGTGCAGTAAGTAGTAAACAATATACTGAGTACTATCTATTATAGTCATGGTATGTCAATTATTTGTTGCTGATAAAACAATCATGTGGTGTTTTATCATTTTCAATTCTTCATTAATCTCATTTTGTCATTTAATTGTAATTTTGTCATTAATATGACATAATAGCGTTGCCCTGAATTGCATTAGGACCCCACCCTGGTGTGACCCCCGATCCCACTGGAAAACTCAAGATTGTATATTATTAGTTTTAAATCCAATGATTTTTAATACGAACAATGAAGGGTATTGCTACTACGTTAGGCCTATATCCATCAATTCACATGGAAACTATAGAATTGTTTAAGCCTATTGATATTTATAAAGCTTATATACGAAAAAAATGAAAGGGGGCCTTCGGCCCCAGAGGGATGGATATCATGGATTCAGTAAGCTTTGGTAATTGCGTATGGATAACAAATGTATGTGTACTAAGTTTAGTCTAGATCCATTTATTTATTTATGAGTATTAACCCTATTAATATTTATTTAGCTTACATAAAAAAGAAACATGAAACGGGGCCCCCGGCCCCAGAGGAATGGATATTAACAGTTAAGTACCCTTCGGTACTTAAATATGGATAATCAAATATATGTGTTCGAAGTTTGTTCAAGATACATCGGTTTGTTTTGGAGTATTTGTTTTTAATTTTATTTAAATAGCTCATATTCGGAGAGAAAAAACATGTTCGGGGCACCCGGCCCAAAACGGCATGTTTCAGAAAGTTGATAAACCCTTAAGAATTCCTTCCAGGTAATGATGGATATATGTGATATATGTGCCAAGGTTGGTCAAGATCAACCAATCCATGTAAAAACGTATGTGGAAGAAACACTGCCCGCCACAAACAAACTTTCACTTTTATCTATCTAGCTATATATATATATATACTAGCGAGTACCCGGCATGCGTTGCAATGCCACTCAAGGAAAGAAAGTGTTTGCATGTTATGTTTCTTCAAGAGCTTTTAAATACTCGAAGTTTTTCTTGTTTTTCCATCTGGTATATACACGAATAAATCAGAAGTTTTTCCGACGCGAGAGCAGGCCACATACATTTGTCCATGAGCGAAGCATGGGTTTTCCAAATTTAGTCCGCAAATTTGTAGCGATTGTCCCTGTGCTTTGTAGATAGTCATTGTAGACGCGTGTCGCATCGGAAACTGTAGGCGTTTGAATTCAAATGGCATATCTGTTGGAATCATTGGGGGGAATGGCAAAAGTACATCACCTAGTTTAAATTTTCCATTTAAAATAGTAACTTCAATGGAACCAATTTCGGAAGATTCATTTGAAAAGATGTACCGTACCTAATGCTTGGATATTAAAGTGCGTTTCTCGTTGCAAATCAAGAGCGAAAAGTTTGTTTGCAGATCGATTCCGAGATGTCATTCCCAACTCATGAATCATCAATCGATATGAATAGTATTTCATGGCACTGTCTTTCTTATTCGAATTTCTCAATTTGATGTCAAAATGATATCCATCTTCACCTTGCCAAAATAAAATAGGATATTGCAATCAAACGTATGAGCGATGAGTTTCTGAGACTCTCTGAACATCAACACTTCTGCGATGAAGAATTATATCACGTGAGTTAAATTCTTTGCCAACTATAATGATTGCCACTTCATCAATTGTTGGTGCATTGTATTGTCTTTCATGTTGGCCGACAGGTGTTTAGTCAGCTCTAACTATGACTTTGTATTCATCAGTTGGCATCTTTTCAAGTGCAACTCTATACATTTGAATTAATTCGTTGTGTTGCAAAAATAACGTTTGCATTGCAGCGACGATTTCTCGTTTAGTGCCCGTATTGATATGACAACGTTGATCGATTTGCTCATCAGCATTCCCCATGAAATCATTTGAAGACATTTGTGATCTGTTATTGGCATCAGAGATCCTACACGATGGTAAATTTGGCCTTTCACTTTACTTTAAATGTTGGCATGTAATTCTCGTGCCCGATATTTGTTGCACCGAACGATGTCATTTGGAAACATGAATTGCATTTGCGTATGTTTGCAAAGAAATGTTTCGATTGGCTATTGTCACCTGATACCAACAATGATAATGGTTTTGATGGTGAATGTAATTCTCACACGTTAGGATCTCCCATCTTTTTACATGAAAACCTCGCACAATAGGTACGTTCATTGTTGGCAGGAGATTTCCAGTTGTATAGTTTCTCATTAATTTATAAATCGTAAATTCCAGCGGTAAAAAATGACCATAGTTCAATATCTACGCTGTCAAGTGTGTTATTTAATTACTTGAGAAACCATCGATTGGTGTAAAATGTATTTACATAACACAAAACAACTACGAAATTATACGACTCTATTCAAGAAATACTCTTAGTTGAAAAAAGACACGCGATTTCGATGTCATTTCCGATTCTAAAATGCGTCACAAAAGTCAAGCTTATTTATACACATAACAAAAATACTCTCTACACTAAAAATGTAAAAATGTGTTTTCTCTGCTTTACTACAAATGTGTCATTTTTTCAAGGGCGGTAGTGTTGATATCTTCGTTATAAATTATATTGATGAAGCTCATTTAAGAAAATAAATTGAATTTAGTGTCCCAAGCCCTAATTGGAATATTGTACAATGGATGTACTAAATTTGAAAAATTTCCCGGCAGATTCAGCTACTTCCACACATGCAATAGCTCTGTTTGAAATTATAGTTACAAAGCTCTTAGAAGAAAATATGAAATTAGGGTCACTGGCCCAAACGGAATATTGTAAAAAAGTTTTTCTAATTTAGAAACATTTTCGGTAGTGCGCATTTCACTTGACCCAGTTTGATCACAATCGAATGAATGGTATAGAAATGCATACTATAATTATATAGATAATAGAAGTGTGGAAAACGAATTTAGGACCCCTCTCCACAAATGGAATATTGTAGAATTGTTGTATTACTTCAGAAACCTACTTAATATGTAACACAATCAATTTAATATCACTATTTGTATTTGATTAAAAAGCTATCCATTCATGCTTTAGCTCTGTTTGAAATTATAGTTGTATAGCTTAAAATTATAGTTGTATAGCTTATATAGAAAAAACGAACATAGGACCCCTGGCTAAAAACGGAGTATTTTAAAATGGTTGTAATCATTTAAGAAACCTTTGCGGGCGGGCGCGCGCACAACATCTCTCTAAAATTTTATCGCATTGTAATAATGTAGAGGAGCGCATACGGAAATTATTTTTTATAAAGCTCCTAATGCAAGGAAAAATAAACGAATTTGGGGCGATTGCCAAAAAAAACGGAATATTTTAGTAGAGTTATAATGGCTTAGAAAAATGCTCTGGCTTATGGACAACAACTCACCTCAGTTTTATCGCAAGCGCTTGAATGATGTAGGAGCGCATGCGGTTTGAAATTATATTTATATAGTTGTATAGCTTAAAATTATAGTTGTATAGCTTATATAGAAAAAACGAACATAGGACCCCTGGCTAAAAACGGAGTATTTTAAAATGGTTGTAATCATTTAAGAAACCTTTGCGGGCGGGCGCACAACATCTCTCTAAAATTTTATCGCATTGTAATAATGTAGAGGAGCGCATACGGAAATTATTTTTTTATAAAGCTCCTAATGTACGGAAAAAAACACGAATTTGGGGCGATTGCCAAAAAAAAAAAACGGAATATTTTAGTAGAGTTATAATGGCTTAGAAAAATGCTCTGGCTTATGGACAACAACTCACCTCAGTTTTATCGCAAGCGCTTGAATGATGTAGGAGCGCATGCGGTTTGAAATTATATTTATATAGCTCATTTTGTAAGAAACAAACATAGGGCCCCTGGCTCAACACTGAATATTTTAAAACGGTTGTAGTAATTTAAGAACCTTTGTGGGCGATAGAACAACATCTCACTAAATTGTTATCGCATTCTGAAAAATGGTATAGGAGCGCATAGAAAATTATTTTTTACAAAGCGCATATAAGAAAAAATAAGAATTTGGGTCAACGGCCCAAAACGGAATATTTTAAAGGTGTTGTAATGAATGGTTATGTTTATAGATAACAACTCGTCAAAGTTTTGTCGCAATTGCATGAATGGTGCAGGAGCGCATACGGTTTGAAATTATATTTATATAGCTCGTATAAGAAAAAAAACATAAATAAGGCCGCTGGCTAAAATTGGAATATTTTGAAAAGTTTATAATAATTTAAAAACATTTGTGGCCGTGCTTCCAACATCTCACCAAAGTTTTAAGTTTTATTGCAATCGGATAAATGGCGTAGGAGCGCATATGAAAATTATTTTTTACAAAGCTCATATAAGAAAAAATACGAATTAAGGGCCAACGGCCGAAAACGGAATATTTTTAAAAGTGTTTAAATAACGCAGTAAAATGCACTGGCGCATGGACAACAACTCACTAAGTTTTGTAGCAATCGCATGATTGGTGTAGGAGCGCATACGGTTTGAAAATATATTTATATAGCTCATATTAGGAAAAACGAATATGAGGCCCCTGGCTCAAAACTGAATAATTTAAAACAATTTTAATAATTTAGAAATATTTATGGACATGCTCGCAACATTTCATTAAATTTTATATGAATCGGATAAATGGCGTAGGAGCGTATGTGGAAAATATTTTTACAAAGCTCATATTAGAAAAAAAACAAATTAAGGGCCATCGGCTAGGAATTGAACACTTGATAAGGTTTTTAATGACTCAGTTAAATGACCGGTTATGTGGACAACAAGTAAATAAAGTTTTGTCGCAATCGCATGAATGGTGTAGGAGCGCATATGAGACATACAGACATACGGACATACAAACATTCATTTATATATATATATAGATATGTGTGTGTGTGTGTAATTAACATTACTTATGAGTTATTTTGTTAATATTATTTATGTGAATTTGTAAATATTGGGGCAATATCGTCTTGTTTATGGCCTTAAGGAAAATTTACTGAGATATATTCAAATGTCTTGAAGACACAACCTAGTCAGAAACTGTCATTAATACAAAACCAACTAAGGAATTATAGACTTTCATCATCTATTATTTTGTTCTATTGAAACATTTTCCTGATATTTCTGTTTAAGCGCTTCAATATTGGAGATTCTGTTGGAGATCGTCTTACGGGCTGCCACGAGTGTTCCTGTGATATTAATGTATATGGATGTACGGACTTGGGTTGTCCGGGGTACCAACCACTGGACTGTGAGATCCAGGGACAGGTAAAGACTCGGGTCTATAACTTGAATCTATGGTGTTTTATTTCTAAATCATAATTAGTTTTAATTTTCAAAACATCTTATACATTTTGATTATTGTGTAGTATTATTCCAGCCTGTTGTTATGTGTTCGCTGTAATAAATGTTGTTATACAATTATACGAAAACATTTTAGACATATTTAATTTATGTTGTCGAATAAATATTTATTTAACAGCACTACCAAAATTTCGACGAAGTCCCATCAGATGTTTGCGAGAATTGTCATTGCTTGAATGGCAACCTGGCTTGTGTCAACTGCCCAGCTTAAAATCTTGGAAGTTTATTATTTATAGCAAACCTAAGTTATGTTTAATATATAATTTACTGTATGTAATTTTATTATCTAAAAACCATTTAATTCAACAAAAAAAAATCTATCTTGGAAACACTTGCTTCAAATTCAATTAATTATTAGTATAATATCGTATAAGACAAAATAAATACTTATACTATACTTCTCATCATCATGATGGTGTCAAATATTCTGTAGCATACCAGAATATTCTCGATGTCAAGGATGTCGATAACTTGCCTGTTCTATTATTCCACTTTACAATGATGGTCTGTCTCTCTCTGATAAATAACACAATGTCCAATGTGCGCTAACAGTACTTCATTATAGGTGCTATCTAATCACTATGATAATATGTACAGGTATAACTGCGATGCAGAGAAGTAGATCTCCACAGGCTTGCAATGAAATATCAGAGAGCATAATCAATCAAAACATTGAAGAGAAAAAAACAAATAAGACCTCCCAAATCAACGTTATCTCTCACTCTGCAACCTATATTAACTCTCATGTCCGTGAACATAATACCGCCGTCCACTCTAGAGTTGTCTCCCCTTTTATAACCCCAAAATCCCATGCGTCCGTCAGTGATCTGAAAATCGTTCACGTGCTCACTTGTCCCATTTGGCACAAAATCACAACACACAAAATCTCTATGATGTCATAATCTTGACAGATGGTAATCTTATATCTAAACGCTGTGGCAAACATTCCAATGCCATAAAAATTGCTAAAGCAATGATGCATTGATGACATAACTATTTCTAAACTTCTGATCATAAGATCGTGTTTTCTAAATTGAGCTTTTGTCCTATTATGAATACGTACTTTGTTTTATACCTAGTAAGATTTTCGTTTCAAAACACACTACAGAAGTTAATTTCATAAACAAAACTTATAGTTTTATAAATATCCAGAATTTTCATCTTTTCACATTCATATTTGTATAAATTATTAGTTGCTATTAAATAGATCTAGACTAATAATTTTTTGGTATTTATTAAATTAATTTTTGGTATTTTATAAAGGGTTTGTTGGTAATGGCACCAAAGCGTGAACAACTTGAGAGAATATACAAGGGTTTAGACCATATTACAGATTTCTAAGTGATAATGACGAAGACGTAACAATTGATGACATCATCATGGGAATATAAACCGAAATACTCTCTAACACGATATGTAACTTTTAATTAATGAGTGTATGTCGACGGTTGTATTATTTGTGTCTTAAATAAAAGTTTAAACACTTATTTTCTTGTTGGTTGAATTGATTATAATGTATCGACTGTGAACATTTCAAAGGACTTATCTCTTATATATACTTTGCTTCAGGTGTGTCCTGTTTGCTTTTAGACACCCACTACCTGAGTGGAAAAAAAGTATGTAATGCGTGAAGATCGAACTAAAAAAAAATGATTACGGTGAAGTATCTGTTATATTAAGCAATAAAGAGCCACGGGTATGGTACAGGAAGGTCTGAGGACTATTTGTTGGACTATTATTTGAAGAAAAGGTTTTCCCATTGTCACAGATCAAATATTTAAATATTAATTTTGTTTGTGAAAATAATGTATTGTTTTGTTAAGTAGAGAGAAAGAGGAAGTTAAGGTATTATGGGATAGAAGAAGGCGACCGAAAGAGTGATGGTTGAAGATATTTTATTAGCACTTGCTACGATTATTTATATATTAAACAGCATCTTAGTGTTGATTGTGAAGTGGAAGAAGTCATACGAAGAATTTCATTTTGCTCTAGTCTACAGAGACTTTATTTTTATTATGTGTACGTTAATCAGGTAATACATTTTGCAGTGCAAATTCTAGGAGTTCTCTCGTTTTTGTTTAGAAAATGATGGACGTATGTGAATGTAAATAAATAATGTAATCAATATCTACAAGTCTACAAGTAACATCATCACCCCATAAATCCATATATTGAAAGATCAAAGCTATATCTTTTAACATTAAAATCAATACCAAAGTTCAAATCTGTAACATTATGGCAGTTTTGAGAATTTGATATAAAAATTACTAATTAAAACCTCTTATAATTTGTACTTATTTTGATGTGTGTGATAATTGAATTAGTGATGGGTATTTGGCTATGAACTTTCGTGGCACATAATGGCTTAGTGGCAAATTCTTATTGAAAATATTTTTCTTAATGTTAAGTTTTAATTGCTTTATAAAATTGATAAAGGCATACATTTGGAAAGAGAACTAAGTGAAACTTATTGAACGTTAAAAAAAATGATACAATTTCGTGTTGTGTTGCGTTAGTTATAACAATTTAAACAAGAACTCTATTAAATCTATTAAATTTATGTTAAAAACGCAAAATATCATTTTTTTGTAAATACTGCCACTAACCCCCAAAAAATTTAAACCTAAAAAGTTAAAATTATTTTCTTATAAAATTATTCTTATTATCTTTTCTCTGAGTTCAATCACAATTTTAAATTTATCCTGCTTTTTAAAATTTAAATAACATACATTTAAATTTATTTTCACAATATTAACAACGCAACTAAAAAAAATTAATAAAGTTTTTTTTGCTTTCACCGATATATCAGATTTAGAATGAATAATAATAATATTTTGACCATAATATAAAAGAAAAATAATTTATGAAATACTCAGAATTCTTGTTTAAAAAATTGTATTAGCTAATTCATTTCTAGTTTTTGTTAATATTACATAAACCTAGACCTAAATATAAGTAGCTTTATTTTATTTTTTCAAATTATATTTGATGTGATTTCCGTAGCGTAAGTTAATAAGTTCATTCTCTAGCTCAGGGGTGGAAAACATTTTCAGCAGGTGGGCTAAATTTCAGAACTAATATATTCAGGTGGGCCACATTTCAGAACTAATATATTCAAGTGGGCCACACACCTATTTCTTTTTTAAAAAGTATAACAAACAAGCAAACCTGCTACAGCTTTGACCACATCCTTGCTTCCTAGGGGGCGAGAGGGTGTTCAAAATCTTGCTTGGTTTAATGTAAAATAATAAAAAGGAGATATTTATAGTCATTTTCAAATAAATAAATAGTAAGTGAGAATCTAACATGTTTATTAGACAATTTTTAAATATTTTAAAATGAGAAATCTGACTGTTTTTTTTTTTTTTTTGCAGAATCAATTGCTACACGCAACAACTTTTCAAAATAAACATCAATAGTTCGTGTTATCACTTGTGATGTGGTGTGCTTCGTACGACTAAGAAGCTGTTCGTGTAATTGTACGTGTAAGCATAAGTATTTCAATTAACGAAAACATCCAAAGAGCATGTTTGTAAAACGAAGGATAGTTATCCTTGTCCAAATTATTTTCAAAGAACTCTTCTAAACCAACTCGATAGCGTTTCTCCTTTAACTGTGTCTAACAACACATTTCCCAGTGTTCCATATGTAAACTTGCTGGTAATTAATTTAAGTCTACCGCCAATGGTGTTTTAAATTAAAAAAAAAATACATGGTCTTTTTTTATAATCTTCAAATCGGTTTTCAAATTCGAGATTAAAGTCCTATGATCAAAAAGTGTAATAATACGCCGCTTCCTGTGTGACGTCTTGTTGCAAAGCTAATTTAGGCAAAATATTACATTTTTTTTGTCCTTTAATGTTTTTACCATCATAGAGCAAGTTTCATTTGAAATGCAGAGATATGATCATGTATTTTATTAATTATTGAACTTTCACTTGTAGAGGAGTATTAAGGTCATTAAGGCAGCTAGTTGAATCGATTAGAAATGCAAAGTTCAAACACTCTTGTCTTCAAACGTTGGAATACCTATTGACTTGCTATCAAAGAATATTTGTATTTCTTGCTGCAAATCAAACACTCTTTTCAACATTTTGGCACGGGCCTGTATTCCTACTTCTGCATTAAATGTAGCATTATTTTAATCTGAGTTGAATGACTTTAGAAATTCTTGGAACTCACTGTGATTCAACCCTGGTGACTTAATGAAGATCACTATTTGACGACCACCTTTATAACATGGTCCATTTCAAGGGACTCTGAACAGATTTTTCTTAATGAATAATGCATGGAAAATTTAGCAATGAAGTAATACTGAATTTAATGTCCTTATTTTTTTAACAATTTGACTAAACCTTCATGTTTCCTAACCATTGTCTGTTGTAAAGCCCGATACGTTGTTAGATTGTAAGGAAAAGCTATTCAATGGCGATGTAACTGCCTCCAACAAATCTCGTGACTTTGTACAGTCCATAAGGATACACAGAGCCACTAATTCTTCTGTCTTTTTAAAATTCACATAAACACTCTAGAAAAAATGACCAGTCTTCGAGTTTCTGCCATATCCTGTGACTTCATCCAATGCTTGAGCATAAAATATAAACTAGGTTACACAAATTTAAAAAAAATCTTTAATATGTTTTCCATTGTCGTCTACATGTCGTCTGATGAGACAGACGTATATTGAGAAATCTTTCTTCTTTTCTCAATGACGCTCTCCAAACATGCCTTAACCATTTCACCATCTGGATACGGTTTCGATTTTTTTTTGCCAGATTCATGGCTACTGCATAACTAGCTTTTACATGCAATGTAGACTCTTAAACCACTCTAGTAAATTGTTGTGCATAGTTTTGTTTACAAGTCTTTTTTACTTCGTCTTTTCTACATTGCCCTTTGCACCTATCAAACTCATTTGCATGTTTAGTATCGTAGTGGCGCTTGATGTGATACTCTTTCAAAACAGAAACAGATTTGTAGCATACCAAGCATATGGGCTTTGTTTTATTAACACGACAATATAGTGTGTATACGCCACCAGTCTTCCACACGCCTTCATGTTGAATGACGCTAAAAACCAATGAAAATTTCAACAACAAAAAAGTATTTCTATCTTCTCTAAGAAATAAAGTTGAATTATATTATACGCACGACTCATGATGTAATGTCATTTTGGAGTCATGTAAAATGAAGTTAACATTTAGATTGATTTGACCGAGCTCCATCCGGCCGCAACATGACGCCAGATGGAACTCATGTTGGCCACCTCTAGCTCGTCGTTTTTAAACAAACAATCAACAGTCTTGCTTTGTATTTGGACAGTAAAAATCGCCTAACGAAGACATTTTCTGGTCTTTAGACTTAAGATAATCAAATCTTGTTATTGCACTTTCTATATTGATATTCTTGCAATATTATTTCCTACGGACAAAATGGCCAAATAATTAATTTTGTTTTGAGACGTGTAACGGTGTATGGTCTTAAATACATTTTTCTAAGCTCTATATTACTAAAGTTTCTCTCACCAGGTCACTTAAATACCTAGCCAGTGAACACGTAGCCTTTATTGGTAGAAACTATTATGAAAATAACGGACAACCCAATTTAAATCTTAAGAGTCAAATCCCAAATCAGTAAATAATGGACAGGTTTTTTTATAAGTGTAGGACTGTTCAAAAGTTTTGGACACAACTTTGCCGCGTCAATAAGCAGCTGAAATTTGTATGGAATGTTCTTAAATAATCTAATATTACGTCGAAACTTAAATGGGAAATGATCAAATGTTTGTAAAACAGATTACCTTGCCCATTGTTGTCACTTTCTTTTACCAATTTTTGTTGGTTTCCTAAATAATGTTTGATTCAAGTAAGTTAAGTAGTGTTAATCAAAACAGACCCAATAATATAGTTTTTAAAATAAAATGTGTACTTTTTATTCTGAATCATTTCTATGCTCTCAATACACGGCTACGTCCTCCTATCAAAGTTCCCTTTACCAAACTATTACAACCACTAATGATACTAAACCGGAAATGATATGTATCAACCCATTATGCACTTTTCTCTCCAAAAATCCGAATTTTGTTTTCTCCTTGAACGTATCCTTAAAAACAAAGCAAGAGGGAACAAAAGTTGACAGCAAGATTTTAAAGATTCGAAAAGGAAATTAAATAAAATTTTTAAAAATTATGTTTGGCCCTAATTCCTCCCCCCCCCCCCCAAAGAGCCGCCTGCGTCGACCACAACTTCGCAC